GAGGGGGGGGAGAATATTGTTTCTTTAGTATCGGATCGATTCAACTACAGTAATTTCCAATATATGTTAGCATACTGAAAAAAATCAATTTCAATTTTTAAAAAATGTTATAATTAATTAATTGATTATGTGACATCAAGTTGATCGTTGATTCCTAACAATCTCATGGATAGCTTTTCTTTATGACAATCTGTCCTTAAGTGAGTTTTTCAGATATTTCAGTGATGATATTATAGTACATTCTAAATATATAGAGTAATTTATGAAAAAGCTCAAATATGCCCAGATATGAATTTGGACCATTCCATCAATTATGGAATAATATTTACAGCATAATGCCAGTGTGAACAAAAAAAAAATGTCTACAGAAGGGAAACAATCTGATTTTTTTTTTGCTTAATAGCAATAGCAATAGCAGTTAGACTTATATACCGCTTCATAGGGCTTTCAGCCCTCTCTAAGCGGTTTACAGAGTCAGCATATTGCCCCCAACAACAATCCGGGTCCTCATTTTACCCACCTCGGAAGGATGGAAGGCTGAGTCTCACCAGAGCCGGTGAGATTTGAACAGCCGAACTGCAGAACTGCAGTCAGCTGAAGTAGCCTGCAGTGCTGCATTTAACCACCGCGCCACCTACAGGTCTTAAAAGTTGCCACGTTTGAGAAATACCAGCCTAGGAGATAGCCAATAGTTTTATCCCAGGGTTCAGCAACCTTAAACACTCAAAAGAACCACAAAGGTCCTAACCCCCGTTCAATGCTAGAGCTGACCAGAAGACCAGTTCCCCCACCATAGAGTCTCCTCTTAGCACGGCATCCTTTTTCCTCTATCTGTCCTAACCAAAAGCCCTATCAATTGTGGAGCCGATCAGTGACAGGGAGCCGCAGCAGAGGGATGAAAGAGCCACATGCGGCTCCAGAGCCGTGGCTTGCTGACCCCTGGTTTATCCTATGATTGGAGGATTAAAGCCCCATCCAAATAATGAAATTAATTCTGGGCATCTCCACATGGTCTTCCAGCTTGACCAGTGGGGACAATTCAAGAGGCTGGTTCTACGAAGCGTATGTTTCTTTTCGATTTATAAATAACTCCCAAATTCCTCTAATGACCCAAGACACCCCTGTTAATGGAGAACAAGTTAGTTTATAGCAGGAGTGGTATAGATCTTAATCTGATCCCAAAATGTCTTTCCTTTATTCTCTGCTAAGTCAACTAAGGAGTGCCACTTTCTGTTGTAGCTTTAAATAAGACCGCATGGCTCACAAGTGGGTATAAAGGTGAAATGTGATTTCTTAGCATGGCAAAAGTATTGGGAGAGGGTAAATTTTACATACTGATAGGAAAGAGAGAGATCACACAATGCAGCCAATCTGTAATTGGCCACTCAGTCACAGTGTTAGACTGCCATCTAGAGGCCGAAAGGCTGCATGGCGCAGGAATTAACTTTTGCTCCCATTATTTCAGCAAATGTTGATTTGACAGCTAGTCCTCAACTTACAACCGTTCGTTTAGTGACTTTTCAAAGTTACAACGGGGCTGAAAAAAAGTGACTTGTGACCGTTTTTCACACTTAACGACTGTTGCGTCATCCCTGTGGCACGTGATCAAAATTCAGATGCTTGACAACTGGTTCGTATTTATGACGGTCGCAATCTCCCGTATAGGTCGTGTGATCTCCTTTTGCAACCTTCTGACGAGCAAAGCCGATGGGGAAGCCTGATTCACTTAACAATCGGGCTACTAACTTAACCACTGCAGTGATTCGCTTAACAACTGTGCCGAGAAGGATCGTAAAATGGGGCAAAAACTCACAACAAATGTCTCGCTTAACAACAGAAATTTAGGATTCAGTTGCGGTCATATGTTGAGGATTACTTGTGTATATACCCAGGTCATTTCCCAAGCAACTAAATAAATAAACTAAGATTTATAAAACTGGATATACCAACGAATAATGTAAAAATACTTCAGTCGTGATGTCGATTTTTAGACTATATCTATTTAAGTAAGCTGCAAACATCAGTGTTATCACCAGCCTACAGTCATCATCAATCATCGTCAATTACTCCAGAATCCCCTGTGGGGTGGAGTCTGGGCAACTGAATGGAGCTAGCAGAGAGTTTTAATGGCCGGATGCTCTACCTGTCGCCAATGCAGAGTTTTGTTCAGTAGATATATTCTCAGTGTGCCCAGAGAGAGAAATATCTGCCTCTTACCTAGGATCGAACTCACAGCCTCCCGATTGTGAGGTGAGGGCTCCGCCTCTAAGCCACCGCACCACTCGCCACCAGCTTCCAGTAACTGCAATTAAATCAATGCGTGTTGCTCCAAAGTCACATGAGAGCATAGAAGTATGTAGCTTAATGTTGGGCATCCTTATTTGCCCATTATATAGTTATCCTTTATCTATTCTTTTATGTTCCCAATACTTCATTCTCTCTTTAGCAGCTTGATTTATTCCCTGGCATGTTTTAACCAAGGTATATATTTGCATGTATGAATCGGCAACCATTCGATCTGAGGTCAGGCGGTTATACCGCTGAAAAACTTTTGCTCAGTTTCCGAAACGAATTGCAGTGTAATATAGCAGCAAGCAGAGTTAATGTATCATGCGGCTTATTTAAATTTCAAGAAATTAGTTCGGTTAAGTTCATCTCAAAGAACGTAACTGATAAAGAGTCACAACAGGTCAAAAGAGCCTCTGCATCATTTGAAACACATGGTAGTGTAGGCAGTAAACGGGTAAATAAACAATAAGCAGAGCGATAGAATTGTACAGATAGTCCTCAATTTGTGGCCACCATTGAGCCGCAAATTTCTGCTGCTAAGGCAGTTGTTAAGTGAGTTTTGCTCTGTTTTACTTTTTTTGCCACCATTGTTAAGCGAACGGCAGTCATTGTTAAGTGAATCATACAGTCGTTAAGTGAATCACGGCTTTACTTGACGGCTGGGAAGCTCACAAATAATGATCCCATGACCCGCAACGGTCATAAATACATCCCTCCTGTTTTTTGATCAGGAGACCAGGGCGGGTGGATTCTGCCACAGTCCTAAGTGTGAAAATCACCTTTAGGTCTCTTTTCTTTCAGTGCCGTTTGAGTCCCTTGGAATGGCCCCTCCACAAATGGTTGTAAGCCTGCCTGAAAGGAATCGCTTTAAGGCAGAGGTGGTATTCTGCCGGTTCGGATCGGTTCGCCTGAAATCGCGGGTCCCCGCCTGCCCATCCCCACCCCCACGACTCTATGTCATCCCATTTAGGTCCCAAAAGCTCATGGGCTCACATTTGCGAACCGGTAGGGAAGGTAAGTAAAATACCACCTCTGCTTTAAGGCCGCGTTCGTATTGCGGTCGAAAGATGAGCGGCGGTCTACGCGTTGTGCATTTGAGCGCCCTGTTCGTGGTCGAAGGCAAGTGACGCTCTTCTCTTTCGTCCTTCTCTCCGCTGTGCAGCACTCGCAAACAAAATTACATGATGAATTTTTCACGGCAACACGGGCTCAGGCATTTCTACAACAGAAGACGAAGGTCACTTCTTAGGCGATCCCCGTGAAGAAAAAGACATTCCTTTCCCCCTCCCCCCCTTTCCCCCCCCCCCCTTTCCCCCCCCCCCCGACCTGTGACGTTTTGCTTTCAATTCCCTTCAACCGCTCACCGCCAATTTGATTTACGAG